ACAAAGTTGTGAGAAAAGGTAAAATAAACTGGGGAGTAGGGGGCGAATGCCATTTTGGGTAGGGTGAAAGGGAGTGTTACCCACCTATCCTAGAAATCGCATGTAGGGGCACACACTGGGTTTTAGGGGACGCAGACGTGTTAATAGCATGCAAAGGCTTTGGGGTCAGACAGCCAAGGTTCAGAGCCCTAGCTCCTTCACTTCATATCTGTGTGACTGTAAAGCATACTGAACTATCTCTGAACTTCATTCTAGAATATGAGGATGAGCAATTGGCCATCAATATAAGTCTCTGCCAGTGCTTCTCACTGATCTGCCAGTGCTTCCCACTGATCTGCCAGTCCTAAGGAAAAGGCGAGGCTCTCTCAGAGCCTCAGACTTGGAAAGACAAGGACTCCTGCTTGCAGCCCGTCCCTGCAGGTGGCAGTGATGAAGGAACTGCAGTGTGGGGTGGAGATGGCCACTGGACTAGAGGTTGAGCGGAGAGGAGGGGCTGTAGGACAAGTCTGGGAAGACTCTGGGGGTAGGGGGTGGCGAGTGAACAAGGTGGCAGGGAGCGCACCCAAGCTGTGGATATGATGGACAAGACAAGAAAAGCTGAGACCGGCCAGGGTGGTCCCTCAGGACAGGTCTGTCTGGCCAGAGCAGTGAGCCCAGGGAGGGAGGCCGCGGCGCAGAGAGGGGTCGGCTGAAGAGGGAGGGCTGGTCAAGGAGCATAGCGGGGGGGGGGGGGTGTTCCTGAGAAGTCGGGTGGGATTCGAGTTAGGGCCAGGGTTTTCTGATCCTCCCCTGGTGTTCAGCTCTGCCTCCCTTTACAGGAGCATTTTTTATTCCATCTGCTAAAGGTCTGCCCTCTCTCCTGGGTTTCTGGGAACTGACCTTCCTTCTCTGTCCTTCGGTGAATTGGTGGGAGAGTTCTCTGCAGCTCCCTGGGGTGTGGTCACGTGTGAGCTTGTGTTCACTGTGTTCTTCCCTTTTTCTTTTTCTCCACCCCTGCTCCTCTCCTTCCTCCTCTCCTTCCCTTCCCCTCCCTTCTCTTTTGGTTTCTGCTCTCCCTGGTGGTGGTGGTGTCGGTGCAGCTGAGGTGGCAGGCAGCAAAGCTGTCCCTGCACTACCAGAGAGTGGCCAGTCAGAGTCTGAGCCACCTGAAGTGGAAGGCGGAGCAAAGTCTGCGGGTAATGAACCCCTCCTGGGAGCCAGAGACAGGCCAAAGCTGAGTGTGGGGCCCAGAGGGCCGAGGTGGCCTTGGGAGTTGGAGGCCTGCCTGTGGGCCAAAGACAGGGACAGACCTTGCACCACCCCCTTGTCAAGAGTTGCACAGGCCTCTTGCAGAGCAGTAGAGTAAGCAGCCTGTGCTCAGTTGTGAGGTGGGGCAGGAAGCCTGGCCTGGTGCCCTGGGCCCAGTGTCCTTAGCTTGACATTCTGAGCCACTTCTTCCCCACCCATCACCACTCCAGTGTCACTGTGGAAATAGGCTTACATGAGGTCCGTGGTTCCTCAGTGTGTGCCTATGCTAACTGCCCTGTCAGGCCAGGGACCCTTTGGGTCCTTCCTGCAGCTGGCTGACCCCCTGTGATGAGTTGAGGGGATCATGAAATAGATGGCATTTGGGGCAGGGGGCAGTGCTGAAGTTCAGCAGAGCTTGAGATGGGGCAGAGTGAAGGAGACTACAGCCCACGGCTTTTCAAAAGTTCCTAAAACCAGGCACCACCTCTTTACCCCTCCTTCAAGGAATGGGAGTCCCTCCCCTGTTTCCCAAATGAAACATAACAACCCTGCTACTGTTCCCCTAACTTCCATTACTAAGCATCTTTCCCTGGTATGGGTCACACTAAGCAAAATTGCCATCTAGAAGGCTCTCTAGAGGAGGAGGGCTTCAGGAGACCAGCGGGCAGCATGAGGCCAGCGTGCTCTGAGCTCATCTGCAGGGTGGCTTCCCTGGCCCAGTCAGCAAAGGGAATGCCAAGGGAACAGAAAACAGCTTACACTTCCTTTGCATTTGCCTCCTAACATCTTTCTCTTGCCATGGGGACAGGGAACTGTTTTTATGTCAGCATGCCAGCAGGACCCCTGGACTCAAGCACCGACTCTGCAGGGCCACCCACAGACCTCTCCCAGCCTGAGGCCCTCCCGGCCTGGCAGACAGAGCCTCAGCCCCAGCTGCAGGGAGACAGTGGAGATCAAAGTCACCCCAGCCGCTCTCCCCACAGCCTGGCCCTCAGGGACATGGGCCTAATCTTCCGAACCATTGAGCAGCTCACCTTCAAGCTCAACAGGCTCAAGGTGAGTGCAACAGGGCTCAGTCCCCATGGCAGGGGGGTACGTTGCCTGTGCTCAGTCATGATGGCATTGAAGAGCCTGGCCTGATGGCAAAGCTCCTGAAGGGATGCGGACCAGTGGTGTGTGACCACGGGAGCTCTAGATCTTGGCCTGGCCCAGGCTCTCCCCACAGCCCATCCAGCCACACTCAGGCACAGCCGCTTCCCCAGGGGCCTCATGAACAGGCTTGAGCAGACATTCCCATGACTCTTCTAGGACTTGGAGCTGGCCCACAGAGAGCTGCTCAGGTCCCTTGGGGGCGAGTCCTCTGGTGGCACCACGCCTGTGGGCAGTTTCCACACAGAAGCGGCTAGATGGACAGACAGCTCCCTGTTACCTCCAGCAAAGGAGCTCCTGCCCTCTGACTCCAGGGACAGCCGAGCACTGGAACCCTGCCCTGAGGACAGTGAGTGAAGCTGATTTCCTCTTTGTACGCGCCCTGAGGGAGAAGGCCTCCCGCTAGTAAGGAAACCAAATGCTGTCACACAGTGTAAGGAGAGAAGGGGCATCTGAGGGGGTCCAGTTCTCATTTCCCCCTTGTGTACAGTTAACTGCCCCAGCTCGCATGAGCTTGAGGCCTTTCCAGGCAAAACATTAAGAGGGAGGGTCATCTCGGAGGCCAGTTCCCCACTGTCATTGTTGCATCCCCCACAGGCGCCAGCACCCCCCTGGAAGACAGCGCGGCAGACACAGCCACATCCCCAGGACTGTAACTGTCCATACCATCAAATTCTCTGCACCCCCACTCGTCCGCTACGGACTGGCCTGAGGCAGGGCACAGGGTGGGGACACCCTAGAGCTTCTCCCGTGGTAGAGGCGGTTGAGGAGATGGGTCTGCCAAGGGACACCGGCATGTTACTTGGGAGTCCAGTTTCAGTGTCTTTTCCCCTCCCTTCAGCCCACCCTTCCAAGGCCTCGGGTCTCCTCGGTCTCCTACGCATGCTGACTGCATCCGAAAGGCCTCCCTCGTCCCACACACACTTGTCCACTGGTGTGCGTGGATACCCTCAGACATGCGAATGAAAGGGAGGAGCTTCTGTGTAAATGCACTTTCTTCCCCTCCCTTTCTCCACAGGACCCCAAGGCTGAGGGAGGTACCTCTACCTCTCCTCTCTGTCACTTGGTCTCCTGTAAATATGTATGTATTGTATGTGCATCTTTGCTATTGTAAATAACTTTGGCCTTTTATGTTCCTGTTCCTGGAGTGCTGGAGGCAGCCACAGAAGCCACTGCTGAGGGAAAAGGAGGTTCACTGGCACCTCCTGGTTAACACCCAGCTCCAGGATCGGGGCCTGAAGGTTGAGCCAGCCCCGAGTGTCCCAGTCCCCTGTGGGCCCAGCTAGCTCAGGAGTCCGGTCTCTACCGCTGGGAGCCAAGCGACTCCCTCCCCACTAGGACTTCTCATCTTCAGGGGAATTTCTCACCCTACCTGTGTCTTCCTTTCCCCACCCTTTTCCTTACAGAAAACCAGTGTATCAGGTACGGAGCTAAAAACTGGGCCCCAGGAAGGAGAGGTAGGGGGTTGGAATGCTGGAGTCCCTAAGTTCACCCAGGACCGTCCCCAGGAGCCAGTGCAACGTTTGCCCCTGTTCTGTGCTCACAATGCTCCCCACTGACTAATAGAATATACACACTGTGCTAGGTGTATATATACATATATATAAATATATATAATATATAAAATATAGATATGGAAATGACTGTTTTGCTGTTAAAATAATGTATACTCTTTATTTTCTTCCTTTCATGGTTAAGATTTTTTTTTTAAGAAAAGTTAAATATTCTTCAACTGTAGTGGTGTGTGTGTGATTCTTGGAACTGCTGTGATAAAAGATGTGGTTGTTCCCCCGAGACCCGTTAGAACTGGAGAGAGGGACAGAAGGAAGTCCCTCCTCGCCCTTGGCATCCAGTCCCCAGACCCAGGTCTTGTCATACTTTCTCCCAAAGCTCCAGTGCTTACTGAACTACTGTCAGGCAAACTAAGTTATAGAGCCCCATGGCCAAAACACAAAAAGACACTTAACCCACTTAATTTAGAAACACACGTACATACGTATATACATAGGAGTAGTGCATCCAGGGACACGAGGCCTCATGAGCTGCCCACGGTGAGCCTCAGGACTCTAACAGCAAACATGAAGGGAAGGGTCATCTCAAAGGCCTGACTAGTCCCTCACTGTCGTCAGCCCTCTGCATCCCCCTGCAGGCTCCAGCGCCCCAGCACACCCTAGAAGCCAGCGTTGACAGACATGGGCACATCCTCGCTACTGGAACCACCTAGACCTCCACTATTCCTTTGTCTTCATTGTTGGACTTAGAACCAATTCTCTTTCAGCCCTAATACTCTTCTTCCTCAGCCTAGCATGATGCTAGGTGCTGACCTCGCCAGTTTACAGTCTAGTTGGGCATGATAATTAATACACAATACATTGGTGCGAAAGTGTAAGGATAAGCCCTGATTGGTGTGGCTCAGTGGGTTGGGCAACATCCCACACACTGAAACGTGTGTTCGATTCCCAGTCAGGGCACGTGCCTGGGTTGCAGGCCAGGTCCCTAATTGGGGGAGTGCAAGAGGCAACCCATCAGTTTTTCTCGTTCACCCTCCCTTTCCTTATCTCTAAAAATAAAGTGTTTTTTTAAAAAGCAAAGTGTAGGGATAAGAATGGGGCTGTGAAGTTTCACTGAAGCTTTACTTTAGAAGGACTCAGGCAGGAATAACTGGAGAAGCTTAGGTAACTAATCCTTGCCAAGCACCTGTAATGTGCTCAGTGTTGGGAATCCAAACAGCTGATGAAGTTTTCTTGAAGAAGCTCAGCCAGCCACCTGGAGGCTGAGCAGCACCCCAGGTGATCAGATGCAGAGAGACTTGGGAGAGAGCCACTGAGCCTCGCCAAGAGAGTTCTCAGCAGGGAGAGCAGTCCCTGTCAATGCAACAGGATGAAGAGATGGACCAGGTTAAATCTGCCCAGAGGTGAAGGGACACTTCTCTGGATGCTCCCTGTAAAGTGGATGTTAGTTACACAAAACCCAGCCCTGTGCACTCTTGGCCTTGTCGGTAGGTCCTCTCAGGAAGCCACACTGATGGGCCCCCAGCTCTCCTGAGACCTCTGGCCCCACACCATCTGGGTGTCCCTGGTTTCAGATTGTGGACATCTGCACTAGAGTGACTGGCCTGAGTGAGCAAGAACTAGGCCCCCAGGTGGCAGAAAAGCAAGGACCCAGCAGAACTGTGAAGCGATTCGGCCATTTCTGGTCATGTTACACGAACAGACTCAGTCCAAACATTCCAAGTAGCTCTGGACCAAATTTCCAACAACCTCAAGGAAAAAAGTACAGCAATGGACCTTGTTAATGATCTGAGATCTCCCCCAGGGCAGTAAGCCCAGACGGACAGAAAATGCTTCTGCGGCCCAGAGTCAGCAGGAGGCACTAGGTGGAGAAAGCCATGGCCTCCTCCTCTCTGAGCTTGGCCTTACTGATGGGGTCCCTTGGCAGCATCAACTCTTGAATCATGGTGTACATAGGACATTGCACGGAGAAGCAGTTTTTCTGGAGGAGAAAAAGGAAGGCTGGTTTGGTATGTGACAAACGAGATGGAAATAGGTTCTCTGAAACAAGAGGGGTGAGGGGCTGGGGGATGTGGACAAAAGGCAGAGTGGGTGTGACTGCTTATCTTACACCAAGACAGATGGAAGTTATATTGTGATCAAAAGAACCAGGGCAACCACAGACCTGCCTTGGAAACAGGAAGGCACAGAAGCTGCAGGATAGTGATGGGGACTCACCGCCAGAGAGAGCCACAGCAGCCCCACGGGACCCTTGGACATACTCTTGGACTTGGAGAACTGTGCCTGGTACTGCACTGCGATGAGGAAGCCCTCCAGCCCCACCTCAGTGATGCGGTTTCCTGGTCAAAGAAGCAGACAAGGTGCCTCAAACCACCACCCTCACAGGACACCCTTGACAGCCTTACTCCACAACAAGCTCCCAGCTCTCCAGCCCAAGACTCCTAACCTAGCCCTTCACCCCAACTCTCCTTCACTTCTCTGACTCCTTTGTCTGAATGAACTCCCTCAGCCTTTTTATTTTCCAACCCCCATTTCTCTCTCTCTCTCCCCTTGTTATCCTCAAATTACCCATCTCAGGGCCTGACTTCCTGTCACCCTAAAGCCCTTGCAAAAGGACCTCTGACACCATGATGTGCAACCATGGGAGAACCAGGTTCTACTCCGGGGTACAACCTCAGGGTGGGGGCACCCTTGGGGCAGAATGGGGCCCAAGGAGCCTCATGACAGGAGAGCAGAGGTAGTTGGCACACATACGGAGGAGGTTGAGGTGCAAAAGGACCTTGTTCCCAGGCATGAAAACCTTCCCGTCTCGGTGTTCCACAGGCTCCAAGAGAGGATTGACCATCTCAGTGGTTTCAGCCACCAGCTGCTAAAGTAGAGTACTAATTGCAGCAGAGGAGAGGGGAGCTGGTCAACAGGTCATTCATTCACTCAACATGCATGTTCTAAGAGCCAACTATAGTCCAGGCTCTGTCCTAGGTGCTGGGGATACAAAAATAAATACACCCATGCCCTCAAGAAGCAACTGGGGTGGAGGGCGGGCACAAAGGGTGAAATGGTAATACCGTATCCGTGACAAGTGGCAAAAGCAAACTCAGTACTGTGAAAGCACAAAGCAGGGACTCCCAGCCCAGTCTCCCAAACTGGTGAGCTGAAGTTTGAATGGTATGTGGTGGACACCAGATGAAGATGAGAGGAAAGGTGTTCCGGGCAAAGAAAACAGGTGGTCAAAGGCCTGAAGCAATATGTCGAACTCAGGTTTTACTGTTTCCTAAGGGCTAGAGCACCGGGGCTGGTGATTGGAGGGACAGGTGAAGTCGGGATGAGAAAAAGGTGCCAGTCTTTGGTGAGAAACAGCAGCCTGGATCCAAAGGGGACAAGAGAATGAGAAGCAGCCTCACCCCCTTTCTCCACCCAACTGTCCCCTTTGTAAGATTTTGTGAAGGTGCCAGAGAAGCCTCCTAAAGAGGAAGCAGCATTCCCTGTTTAAAGCAGGGGAGGTCTGATGGATAGCCTTCCTCCAGCAGCTGACTCCACCAACAGCTGGAGGGCTGGCAGCTATGGTTGGCAGTCCGGGAAGCAAAGAAAAACTGGCCCAAGTTGAAAGGGAAAAGGCGGGCTCCAGAGCAAAGGAGAGAGGGTCTGAAGGAGCCTCACACAGGGTGGGGCAGCACCGTGGCTATGAAACATCCTGCCTTCCTGGCAGCTGCTGAGAGGGGTGCTGTTCCCAGGGCAGAAGGGCCAGTAGGGCCAGCAAGTGGTGGTGCTAAGCCAATGGCCTTTTGGGAAGCAAACTGATTGGAGACAGGATAAAAAGTGTGAGCTAATAAGCAAGAAAAAGAGGGCCTCCTCAAGCCTGAAGGGAAGACAAGGCACTGTTACCCCCAGCAAACCCGGGGATGGGGCTGTGTCACATGTGGTTGGGGCAGGAGTGGAGAACAAAACTCGGACTGAACTGCTGCTGCCGCAGCACAGGGCTGGGGATGTCCCAGAGACATGCTCCCTAGCCCCCCGCCCCTGCAGCCTACCTCTGACTCCAGGAGGATGCTGCGCTTCTCTTTGCTTCCAGTCTTTGGCCCTTTTCCCTTGATCGGTTTCTGCTCAGGGATGGTTACCTCTGGAGCAGAAAGAGGAGCCAGAATGCACAGTGTAGACCTCTAATACCAGGCTCCCCTGAGAGAAGGGCTGGGCGAGGAAGGTGACTTTTCAAACTGGGTTTGGGTGCAATAGGATCAGCTGCAGGGACCCCCAGCTGGAGGGAGGTCCTCTCCTGAGGGCAGGACCATGGGGTTCCAGCCCAGGGAAACAAGTGTGGGGTGCAGTAGTCAGGATGTGGGGCCAGGTGGGGCTTTCCACATCATCTCCCAACAGAAGGAAACAGATTCAGAGGGACATGCCCAGAAGACTAGCTCACCCCTCCTGCATCGCAGCCCATGCTCCTTCCTCCTAACCAAGATGCTGCAGAGGAATACTAGCACTTACTCCCCTTGCCTGCCTTTGTAGAGTCTTCCTTCTTTGGGGTCCCTTGTGTGGGTGACTGCCCAGACCCCGACTTCTCCTCTTTCTTCACCACTTCCTGTGGAGGATATAAGGAGACCAATTAAAGTCCTCCCTCCATGGGGAATGGGGAGCTGGTTGGGAAGAGGCCAGTGTTAGGACCCTGGACCTGAAGTGGGACTTCGAAGGCCTTCTTCCCTCCCCACTTCACCAGTGCACCGTGGAAGTTTCCTCTCTGCTCATCTCAAGAGTGCCCAAGGCTCTCTTCCCACAGCACACCTACCCCTGACTTCTCCTTTTTCTTGCCCAGGCTCTTAGGGGTCTTCACTGTCTGCATCTTATCTGTCTTGTCCACCAGTGCAACACTGCTGACTCCCACCAGCTGATTCTTCTCACGGTCTGTTTTGGAGTCGCCATGTCGAGAGGAGGAAGGCTGTGCTCACAGAGGGGAGGAAAGAGAGGCACAAGCCAGTGCCCCTTGCCCAGGGAGGAGAAGCCTTGTGCCTGGGTGGCAGCCCTACTGGCAGCATCCTGCCCCCCATCTGCCTGCCTAAATGCTAAAGTAATCTGTTTGGGGCATCTAGGGGTTGAGAAGAAAGGGCAGAGGGACTTGGGAATAAGCTGGGTGGGGCGGGGGTAGGGGTGGAAGTAGGGGATCGGACTCTCACTTTGTTCCCAGTGCATTTACATGCATTAAGTCATTTAACCCTCTCAACAATCCTGTGAGTAACATGCCAAGACCACAAGCTGTTACCTCACAAGGGATTTCAGGGTCTAGCAATCCAGATCTATTCCTTTCTCTTAACCAATACATTCTACTGCCCGTGAAGAGGTTCTGCAGTGAGAGCCCAAACATTTGCTAGGCCTGTGCAGAAGTCACACAGCAGGACAATCACTGCAGAAGGCAGGTTGTGACATGGCTAGCTTGCTGAGAAACATCCGCCTAGGAAGAGGCTGAGGGCTGCTCACCGACCGCAAGCGTTCCTGGGTCCCCTTTTCCAGCAGGAGGCGGCGCCGCTCCACCACTTCGGTGTGCGTCAGCTCAAAGGGCCGCAGGACCTGGGCCAGGTGGCACTGCGCCGTCAAGACGCCACCTCGCAGCCAGGTCCACTCAACCAGCCCGTCCAGTCAGCAGACCCACCTCGGCCAGCTTCAGAGCGCCCTTGTCCTGGATGCGGTTGTGGGCCAGGGACAGCCAGAGCAGGGAGCGGTTCAGCCGGAGGCCCTGCAGGGAGGAAAGGTGCATGAGCCGGCGGACCTGAGCCCCGAGGCTCCGTGGGTCCGACCCCCGCTGCGCACGCACGCACGTCGGCGATGTAACCAGCGCCCTCGTCCCCGATGTGGTTGAAGCCCAGGTTGAGAGAGACCAGGGTTCGGTTGCAGTTGTGCAGTGTGGACAGAGCCTGGCCTAGGAGCTGCGCCCCATGGTCATCGATGTTGTTATTCCTCAGAGACAAGTGCGCGATCCTAGGCAGTGGGAGGGGGAATGAGGGTCACTGGAAACATGGGGTCCTGAGCGTGCACTGGAATCTCAGGGAACTTGGGGGCATGAGGAGGGCCACTGGGTCTCAGGTTGGGGGCTAGGAATTCAGGGAACCTGGGGAGGTGCACCAGGGGACTAGGGATGACTTGCAATAAGGGCAGGCCCAGAGAAAGGGAGTGGGGGAAGGAGTCTCACCTGCTGTCCTGTGCCATGAGCTTGTGATATGACTGCTCTGGCAGTGGGTTCCCCTCCAGAGACACCTTCCTGAGGATGGGGTTGGTCTGAGAACCAGGGAGCACCACTGAGGCCAGGTGAAGAAAGCGGACAGAAAGGAAGTGTGGGGCTCTGAGGAGCAGCTTGGAAACAAAGTCAAAGGATGGTTCCCAATATAGGAAATTATATGAGAATTTTTAATTACATAAGAACTAAATGTAATTTAGTTCTCCAGACTAAAAGTCCAAAGGTGTGGCCATGCGAAGGGATCAGCTCACACCCCAGAATTAGTGACCTATAGTACAGTGACCTCTAGAATGACTCCAAGGATCCCCACTTCCTAGTATCTTTACCCTTGTGTAATCCCCTCCCCTTGAGTGCAGCTGGACCTAGTGATTCATGTCTGATTACCAGAATCTGGCGACAGTAATGGGATGTCACTTCCAAGTTTAGCTTACGAAAAGGACTGTGGCTTCAATCTTGGATGTTCTCTAGCACTCCCTGGGTCACCATGAGCTGCCATGTGATGAGAGGGCAATCGGGCTGCTTACAGTGGTCTCCCACCCCGCTGTGGACACACAGCTACATATCAGCAGCCACAAAAGTCAGCTTGGAAGTAGACGCTGCAAACCCAGCTGAGGTGACCACAGCCCCAGCTAACAGCTTAACTGCAACCTTACCAGTGCCTGAGCCAGAAGCACCCACTATACTACATCCAGATTTATCTCAAAGAAACTTTGATATAATAAATGTCTGTTGTTTTAAGCCATTAAGTTTATAAGTGATTTGTTATGCAGCAATAAGTAACTAATATATGGCCTGTTCACAAGGCAGTGACTTCTCCAATATTGCTTAGAGAACAGAGGCCGTTTTCTAAGTCACAACAAAAATTGAACTAATGACTAGAAATTTCCCTTTCAAAATTTTCTCCCATGATATATTATCATTGCTTAACCCTTCAGTCTGTCTCATCTGTCATCTAAACGATTATATTCATTTTAAATTATGTTTATTATGTCAATGTAACTTATTTTTACATATTAAATAAATTGTGTAGTTATTTTTCTGCTGGCTAAATTGTGTCTAATTACCATGAGAATAAAATAAAGTTCCATGGTATTCTATTCAGAGTGTTAAGGACCTCCAGCTGAAGACGATTCAGTCCCACAAGAATCGTCCATGACGCCCATGGAAGGAAGACAGACAAGCCAATGCGTAAGGCTGAGGGTGTGATCTGAGAAACGAGAGCAGTCAAGGGGGCAGGGGGAGCCTTGAGAAGGAGCAAGGAGTGGCAGCCAGCTCTGTCCTTTATACAGCAAACCACACCTGTAGTTACACTACCTCCCACCTTGCTCCTGCTTCTCCTTCCCTAACTCCCTGCCTGCGCCCTCCTGCTCCTCCTTCAAGGCTCAGCTCCACACCACCTCCTCCAAGCAGCCTTTCATGTCACTGTGCCCCACACCCATAGGGTAACACTACTTCTCTGCTCCCACTCCCTCCCCCCATGAACCACTTTTTTGCCACCACAGTCCCCACATCGTCCTGCAGTATCTCATCGTAAATCCTTCTCCCTCCCTCACCGGACTGCCAGGTCCTGAAGGATAAAAACCAGCCCCTAGTACTGTGTCAGGCCCCAGCCCTCAGGGAACAAGGGAAAAACTCCAGGGAGAGAGTGGTGGTAGGACTGATGGAGAGGAGAGGGATGAGGCCTCAAAGATCTGGCCCCTTGGGCACTGGTGTAGGCAGAAAGAGGAACTCTGTGTTAGATGGGAGCTTCAAAACCCACCAGACACCAGCTGAACCCCATTTCCATAGGGATGCCAGCACAGGCCCTTAGGAGCTGGGACTTGCTACTTGGCCCCCCCCCCAACTGCTCCCTCTGACCACCCACTCAGCCTCGCTACCAGGTACGGGGCCTCCCAGCTCGCCTGTTCCCCTCGGCTGACCTGAGAGTGGGTGAGCAGAGAGGTAGGAGGGCGATGAGTGTGGCCAGGGTCTTATCAGTGAGCCCCACCTTCCACAAGCTGTTGGTGGAAAGCACAGGACACCGCTGGAGCCGCACCGCCTTCCCCGCACCGTCCTCCCTGCGCACCCGTCCTCACCGCGCCCCACCCCCGCACTTTCCCACCTCCCCAGGATCTGCCCTGTTCCTTCGGTTCTTTCTCCTGAGCCATCACCCACACTGGGCCCTCCCCCTCCCCATGTCCTCTCACTTGATAGCCTGCAGCTGGCTGAGGGGGGGCAGACACTTAGAGAAGATGCCCAGGATCCGATCCTCAACTTTCCAGCCTGCAGAAGGGAGAGGAGGAAGGTCCCTCAGGTCTCGGGAAGGTGCTGGCGGGTGAGGGAGCGGGGCAGGGGAGGGATGCCCACCGCGGATGTAGATTTCCTTCACGGACTTGTCTTCTGGCTCTTGCTCCACCTGGATTGTGGGCCGGAAGAACACGTATTTGCTCTCCAGACTGTTGAGGCTGCAAGAACCCGACAGCCACTGATCGTCTAGCAGACAGGGGTGCAAGGAGACGGTGAAGAGGGAGGACCCGTCTCAAAGGCGGCCCGGGAGGGGGATGGCTCCCATGCGTGCAGCGGGGTTGGAGGGTTCAGACGTGTGGGACGCCGGCCGGTCGCCGCTGCGGGGGTCAGGCCAGGTTCTGCCTGGTTTGGCGGCTAAGCCAGAAGACTCCCCCACCCATCATCCCACCTGCTACTCCTCACTTACAGCCACTCTGCCCTGTGACCCCGCAGTTCGGCCGTCAGTGGATGGGAGACTGGGGATGGACCGAGTGGCTGTAGCAGGCACCCCAGGGCTCCACTCACCCAGGGTGGGCTTTTCCGACAAGGAGGCAGATGGGAGAGAGGTTGGGTGCGGGCGGGGCCGCAGGACAACTTTGGGGAAGTCTGTGTAGCCGGACCTGGTGCAGAGCTCGGCGAAGTCGGTCTCGAGGGCTCCAGTGCACTGGTACTCCTCTGCGGGCCCAGGCGGGGCAACAGCAAGGGCAGGGCCCGCATGTCAGTGCCCGCCCTTGTTCTCAACTCCACTGCTCTGGGCTTGGCCTCTGGGTAGGTAGACCCCCCTCTGAGGTGTTGTAAAGACCCACTCTGAAAACTGTGGGAAACCAAGAGCTGGGAGAAAGGACTATCGGGAGGACTGTGTTGGCTCCTCCACCCACCCTGTTGTTCATGGCTCCCCAGGGGGGATGTCTCCCACAGGGTGTCCTCAGCCCAGCCTTCTCCCTTGTCCCTTCCTTGCTGGCGCTGCCCAGGGCCACAGGAAGAAAGAAGCCCAAGAAGCCTCAGGACTGTGTGAGCAAAAGAATGAACAACCCAGGAGTACCTCATCACCCCCATGCCCAGCCCTCAGGGCACCCTGAGGTCCAGTGGAGCAGCAGCTTTCATCTGTTTAGCAAACATTTACACAGCACTTACTCCTGTGCTGCACTGTTCAGAAGATGTCTCTAAGAGACATCAACTCATTCAAGCATTGTATAAATTCAGACAGATGCCCCTACATCCCACCACTCAAACCTGAGATGTTGAGTCCCCAGAGACCCTGCTTTTTCCAGCTCCCCCATGGGCATCTGGGAAGAAGTGGCTCCTGAATATGGGGAACCTGGAGGCGGAGGGCTGGCTTGGTGCCAGCCTGCTCTTCCAAGGGCCCAGAGGCCTGGCCCCCACAGCAACGCTGCCCAGGATGCAGGCAGGTGCTGCAGGCGCTGTGACCAGAGAACTCCTGCAGCTATGGCAGAGCCCGCCGGAGGGTATGGGAGGACGCGTGCTCGGCAGGTGTGGGGCCAGGACTCAGAAAGATTTGGGGCTGCTGCAGAAAAGGGACGAGGCACATGTTCCTCACATGCCCAGCTACCAGGGCACACAGACACACAAGAAATGTTGGCTGGTGGACAAAGCAGGTGAGAGGAGGCACAGGGGGCCTGGGGGTACCCCTTGCCCAGCTGACTCCTGCACACCACCTGCTTTCCTGGGCTGCTCCCTCTGCTGAGAGAGCCCGCAGCCCTTCCTTGCTTCTTCACGCACTCCACCTTTCTCTACAATGGAGATTCTCAAACTGTAAGAATCACCAGGAGAGCCCATTAAAACAGTTTCTTGGGCCCATCTGCAGAGATTCTGATTCCATAGGCTGGGTGGAGTCCATCAATTTGCACTTCAACAAGCTCATGGCTGCCGCCATTGTTGCTGGTCCAAGCCCAGCACCTTGAGAGTTGCTGCTCTAGAACAGCGCCGCCCAGCGGAACTTCAGGCGACATTGCAAACAGTCTGTGTCTGTGACGGAGCAGAAAGGGCCGCACTTGGGCCTAGCTCCCGCTCCCCTCCGCTCCCACACTCCTTCCCCGAGCTCACCAGTGACCTGGCCTCATAGTTCCTTGAGATACAGAAGCGACCAGATGGGATTTCCTCTACACCCATAAATCTCCCTACATCTGCCCTCACTCCTTACCTCTTTTGAGCCTGACGTTTGCCCACCACAGCTCACAATGGCATCTACTAAAACTGCTGTAACCTCTGTACCACCCTGTACAGGGTCCCTCTGCAGTCATCACTCCCACCCTCTCCCACCTCTCTGCCCACCTGAGGCTGAGCAGCCTCCCCTGCCAGTCCCCCCTCCTTGGAGATCTCTAATTCTGGGTCCTGAGCCCTCTCCTACCTCTGGTTGTATTTCCTCCCCTACCCTTGGTGACTCACTTTTGTACTAAGGGCTTCAGTACATCCAAATGTCAGCAGGCCCCAAAGCCACACCTCCAGGCCTGACTTCTCTTCAGCACTCCAGACCCAGGTGTCCAGCAGACTAGCTGACATCAGCTCATGGAGGTCCTCCTTTACATGCTCCTCCTTCGGGCTTTCCCATCTGCTCCTCAGTCCACCCAGTGCCAGTCCAGAAACCTAGGAATCATTCTTCCCACACCAATTCTTATTACTTCTGCCTCCAAAGTACTTCTCCAAGGAAGCTAATCCATTCTCCCTCATACCCTATTCCAACTACCACTGTCCCTCACCTGGACCATTGAAATTTCTTGTAACCCATCTCCCTGCCTTCATTCTCTCCCCCTTCCACTCTATTTTCCATACAGAGTGTGTGTGTGTGTGTGTGTGTGTGTGTGTGTGTAATGTAACTGGGTTCTGTCTTGTCGCTCTTTCTGGAAAATGCTCTTTCTCCAGTTCTCATGGTTCCCTCCCTTCAGCCACCAGCACTGACAAAGAGGTGGCCCCTGACCAAGGTCTGACAAACTCTTCCCAACTTGTTTTATGGGAAGTCTAGAGACAGCAAGTTCCTGTCCCTCTCTGATGGCAAAACTGGTGACTGTGAATCAAGAAAACTTCCAATAAATTCCCCTTTGTAGAGAATTAATTTGGGTTTGGGTTCTATCACTTGCAACACACAAGGCCACACTCCTACTTATATACTCTTCTCATGGTTTTCTTTTCCCTGAGAATGTGCATTCCATCCACGCAGCACTGTGCCTGTCTCATTGTCTGTATTGTACCTGGCCGAACAGCAGGCACCTCCTGGTGTCCTCCCATCATTCCCTGGTCCTTCTTTTCTCATACATGTTATCACATTTAATTGCATTTGTCAGCATCCCAAAGCAGAGTGTGGGTGGGTTTTTTAAGATCAATTCAGTTCAAACATCTGCCAAGCTGAAATTCAGGAACTGTGATGTCAGGCAAGCTGGGATTCATATCGCAAGATGGAACAGGGAGCTCGGCACACAGTGGGTGCACAATCTATGCTTGTTGAATGAACACATGAATTTGCAGTTTACAAAACACTTTTTCACCATCAACTCCATTGTTCTCACCTCCTAGGCGGGGCAGGACTCACATTTCCATACTACAGAGAAGTAACATGCCCACGGTCACACATCTAATAATGGTTATCACTTATAACACTCTCACCTGTGCCGGGAGCTAGCTACATTCACACACTGAACTTCAGTCAGTGGAGCCCTTTCCATACAGCACTTCTTTGCACTAGAAATTCTATTATTATTTCCTGGTTCGTCTGTCTCGCCCACCAGAGCGTCTTTCTGCACGTCCAGTTCAGTGCCTGGCACAACTACAACACATCGTCCAACCTGACAAGCCAGAGTCACGAGGGGCTGGCTGGTGGCAGCACATGGAGCCTCAGTCTCAAGGCCTCGAGACCTGATCCCCTAATCTCGCCACCAACGTACCAGGGTTTTTGGGCTCCTCCTCACCCACCGGGGGCAGGACGGTCGCTGGCTTCTCCTTGGCCCCGCGATCCCCCTTCTTGGTCACTGTGCTGGACGACTTCTGAGTCCCCGGACGCGGGGCCCTGGGCGACGCCCCAGTCGCGCTGACCTCGCCAGACATAGTGGTGCCGTCCGCAGCAACCCTGGGAACCCTCACTGGAGTGAAGAGGCAAAACAAGTGGTGATTCTGCAGACGGTGTCCGAATAAGAGGTTTCTATTCAGCGTCCACCGGCCTGGCGTGACCGCGGTGGGTGGGCTCCGCGTCCCTCTCCATGACAACGGCACCAGCTGGGCGAGCCGGTGGAACCTGGTATAACCGCAGAGTGCACGCGGGCCCACAGGGGGCGCTGCCGACTCAAAGCAGGGGTGGAGGCGGAGCCTTTGGTGAGTGCGTCCGGTAGGAGCGGAGGAAACAGTGGGGTCTGGGCAGAGCCGTAAGATAGCTGGACGTGGGAGCAGGTGAGCCCCGGAGGACCTGGCCCAGCGAACCCCGTGGGAAGGGAGAGAGCCAAGGCCTGTCCAAGACCTGAGCTGGAGCTGAAAGGACAGGGCTAGACGAGACCAGGACGAGGTGTGGGGCTAAGGCCAGCGCCCATCCATCCCAGCAGCCATCCAAATCCCCTAGGAAACTGAGTGCAAGAAAGTGAGGAACTGGCTGCTCCTATCAGGGATGGTGTGTCTGAGGAATCTAAGGAGAGTCCCGATGGGGGTAGATCCTCTCTCTGGGCCTGCCCTCCGAGCCTGTAAGGAAAGGGGTCCTGGTGGAAAAGGCCCAGACAGACCCACAATATTCTCCACTGCATCTACTTGGCCTCCTCAGGTCTGGGAACTTAGATGATCTGCTAATGAGTTAATGAGGCTGGTAATGCTTTATAGAAACCTTGGATTCAAAGTCCTCAGGTAGTCCAGACCCTGCTGGGCCCCCATTTGAGTATGCCCTCTCCTGTCTGCCTTCCTGCCTCCAGCCTCCACACCCCACTCAGTGCCACTTCCCCAATGCCACCCCCAGCCCTCCCGACCTTTCAGCTTGTACTGTTCCCCTATAAAAATGCCAGTTTGAGCCCTGACTGGTGTGGCTCAGTGGATTGAGTGCGGGCCTGTGACCTAAAGGGTTGCCAGTGAGGTTCCCAGTCAAGGCACATGTCTGGGTTGTGGTCCAGGCCCCCAGTAGGGGGCGCAAGAAGCAACCACACATTGATGTTTGTCTCCCTCTCTTCCTCCCTTACCCTATGTCTAAAAATAAATAAAGTCTTTTTTTAAAATGTCAGTTTGGGGCAAGGCTCCCACCTGTGCAGTCTATTAACTCTCAGAACATGCAATTTGCCCATCTGTCTGAGCACTTACCACAGTGTCACTGGTATTTTTAATTCACTCAGTCACTCAGTCTTTTAGGAAACATTTATTGGGTACCTACTATGTGTGAAGGGGAACCAATGTTGAGCATACACACAGGACTCCTGCCTTCAGGAAACTTACATTCTGGTGGGGGAGGCAGAAATTAATCAAAGAATCACATAAAGAAGCAACACATTACAGAGGTGCCTGGCACCCTGTGGGTCCTCTGCAGGCATCTGGTGAATGAATACAGCTGTGATCGGTGCTGTTAAAGAGAGGTGCTTCCCAGAGGAGGGGATGGACAAGTAGAAGTTAACAGGTGAGTGGGAGAGGAAGAACATTCCAGATGTACAAAGTCCCTGTGGCAGGAAGAAGAATGGCTAAATAGGAGGACCTAGAAGCCAGTGTGACTGGAGCAGCGAACATAATCCAAGGTGAAGCTGAAGACAGAGATAGGACAGCTAGCAGACCCTTTAATTAAGACCTTTGACAGTTTTCACTCTGGCCCAGTAGCAATGGGGCACCCATGAAGACTCTCAGGCAGAGGCAGCCTTACCAGCTTGTATTTGGAGCTGTTGGTTGGAAGGGGTGCCAAGTGAATGCAGGGGGAGCCAGTTGGGACACTGTTGCCAAGGTTAACTGTCTTTGCGCTGCCTCTCTACTAAATGGTGAGGGCTGTAGGACAGGGCCTGTGCCTGCTACCCCTCTGAAAGCACACGCACACAGAGAAGCTCACGCACGCACACATACACACAAACATAGAGCCCAGCCTAAGAGTGCACAGAAAAGCTACCCAATATACATTTTACATCAATATGACATCAGAGTTATCCAGTAACATTCAACCCACCAGTTTACATATACACACGTGCCCTGGAAGCCCTCAGGCAGTGGGTTAGAGAAAGGAAACACAGGTTTCCTGCCAACCAGCCTCCCAATGTGGAACCGGGAGCCAGGTTTCCATCTCTCCATTCACTTCCTCTATTAAAATTGTTCATAAACACGTTCACATTCACAACCTGCCAGAAGTTCCCCTGCTCCTTGCAGGGTACAGCTGGCTCTGTTCTCAACATTGGGCAGCAAGAACAGGTGTACTGGCCTCTGCACACCACCTTGACCCCTCAGCGGTCCTGGTGCCGAAGTGGGGGTGATGGGGGATGCCGTACGGGAGGCAAGTCATAGTGGCCAGGGATGTGGCTGTTCTTGGGGGAGTCGTAGTGGCCAGGCATCAGGCCCGGAGGCAGGGGGTGCTGGGAGCCCACGGAGTCTCGGTCTAGAGACAGAGAAGGGACAGAAGGAGGGGGAGGTAGCTCCTCCCCATCTTACCACTCCCCTCTCCAGCCTCTTCTGCCCAAAGACAGAGTGCCTGGTGCTTGGCTACAGGGCACTTTGTGCGGTTGGTGCAGCTCCTCACTGCCAGTAGGAGAGGCCATCTTGACCCGCTCACCTCACAGGATGAGGACACTTTGTCACCTGCCTTGTTCCCCACTTTTCTGGGTACCAGCTCCACAAGTTAGGTGCTGTACCACCACCACCTCAAATCCTCAGCCTCAGGCTCTAAGAGGCACCGTGATTCCCAAACATCATGCCTGGTCTGAGCCCAAGTCTGCCCCCAAAGGCCTTGCTGTTGCTGCCACGTCACGCCACCTCCATGTTCTTTCTCTGTCCCTTTCTCCCATTCTACCTCCCTTGTCTCTTCTCCCTTTCTACCTCTCTAGCCCCTGCCCCTGTGGAGAAGGAGGGCTCACCATGGGTCAGAGCAGTAGGCTGCTCATAGGTACCACTGTCTCTCTGCGGTTTCAGGTATCGCTGCCTCTGGCTGTCCAGGAGCTGAGGCTGCCTGGGGGGAGATCCTGAGGGAGGGCCTTTCATCTCCACATAGCTGCTTTCCCGGGGGCCCCCTAGCAGGCTGGGCAGGTCCCGGATGGTGGCGTAGGGGTTCTCACTGCTCAGGGAAGCCACACTGGCCCCAAGCCCTTCTTCACAGATGGGCCCTGAGGATAGAAAAAAGAATTCAGGCTCAGGGGAGGCACTGGCTCCTAAACCTCACCCCCCCACACACCCTACCCCACCCCCGCTCACCCCTCATCCCCCTACTCCATGGCCATACCTTTACTGTAGAATGGACCTGGGCCATTACTGCTGCGGTAGCTATAGCTGTAGCTACGGTCCATGCAACTGCTACCTGAGGAGAAGGAGGCAATGCCTGATCAGACCCTTGGCCCCCTCTCCAGGCTCAAGCCCCCTCTAAAACTGGTGCCCAGAGCCCCCTTCTGCAGATGCATACACTCAGATGGAGTAGGACATTGAGCGGTACACACCCACCCTCAACAGAGGCCTGGCCTCCAGGCTCCTACCCCTATCCAGAGGCCCTGGAGGGGCCTCCCGGCGGTGCTTCCAATCAGCAGGCAGGGTGGCATGGTTGTCTGGCCCATGGGCTCCACCCGGCCACTCAGAGGCCTGGAGGCTGGGGAAAAGCTGACTGCCTGGAATCTGGTAGGGGAGGAGTAGAAAGGGAGAGGGACATACACAGATGGAGCTTTCTAGAGAAGCAGGTCTTTATCTCCACTGTGTACCCCTCCCCCAGCACTGACCTTGTTAGGGGGTAGGGGGTTAGGTGAGCACTGTGACAGGGTATGGTAGCTGGGGTTGGAGTAGTAGTGACTGTAGCTCAGAGACACATCTGCGAGAACAGACACAGACTCAGGGCGACCCACCCAGTCAGAGAGGCCTGGGCCTGAGAATGTTACTCTGTTCCAGGGGTAAGTGACCAGCCCCTCTGACCTCCCTTCTTCCCTCCATCCCTCCACTTCCCAACTTCTGGGTCCAGGGAGAGACGTAGAAACCCCCCACCTATAAGCAACCACTCGGATGTGTCATCTTCCCCCCGGCCAGCTCACCTGGCATGACATACTCAGAGCCGTCCAGGTGCCCGCTGCTGTAGGCCACTGCCAGGTGTTGGTGCTCCTTGCCTTTTTGCCAATGGCGGTAGCCAATGAACAATGCCACAAGGGCCACCACCAGAGACCCCAGTACAGCGATGCCGATCACCGCCCCCAGTGAGTTATAGGCCACTGGAGAGGGAGGCATCATGGTGAAGGGCTCCTGGCTTCCTAGTGGGTAGGGGAGTCATTCAGGACAGGGTCTTGGCTGATAGTGAGCTTGGGGGACATGCATGGGAGGACCCCTAGATGAGGGGCCTAGATCCTGGCAGAGACCCATGTCCTGGTTCCCTGAGGATGATGGGGACCTAGAGAGGAACTCACCCATACTGCAGGGGGCACCACTCTGCCCTGGAGGACACACACAGGCCCCCGTCTCTGGATGGCACCTCTCTCCAGAACCACACTGGCATGGTTGAGAGCAATTGGCACCAAACATTCCTGGAGAACAGGCTAGGAGAGCCAAGGAAGTAAGTGGGGGTGAGAGGTTGCCAGGAGACTGCAGTCTCCTCCTTGGGCCAGGGCCAACTTGGGAACAGGGACATGGAGCTCCCTTCTATTGGTACCTTCCAAGCAGAGGGGTCCAGTCCAGCCTGGGGGGCAAAAACAGCTCCCATCCTGGGGATGGCAGGTCCCACCATGGTGACACTGGCAGGGCTGAGTGCAACCGTCTCCCCAGTGTCCTGGAGGGCACGCTGCAGGAGACAAGGTGCCTGTCTGGCGTGTGAGCCCAGCCTTGCCCTACCCACACCAGATGAATTCTCAGCCCCCAGCATCACTGAAATCTGCCGCTCAGCTTCGGTCCCCCAAGGACACCAAGGTTTGAACAGTGTCTACACTCAGATGACTCATAAGGGCTGATCTGCAGACTATGTGCCCAGCTGCCCACTTGAAGCCTGCACTCAGCTATCCAATGGCCATTCAGAACAACACAGCAGGGCGAGGCGACAAAAGCCTCCCAAACTGCCCTGCATGGTGCAGCTCTGGACTTCTTTTTTAGAACATGACAGACACAAATGTCCACACTATCTAAGGCACAATTTTTGTGTATGTGACATTAGCAAATAATCTAATAGTAGTTATTACTGAATTCTATGGAAAACTCTTCACCAGGATGCCTTTCCTCTACCCTGCCTGCTGATGAGCTCACATCCAGCCTATTTCATAGTCATAGCTTCCCATTTCCCTTTCCAAAATTTATCTCACTTAGTTGATTTGGGCTAATTTTTTCCATGATGTTGTTCATGTATTTGTGCGGGAAGAAGCCATGGGCAACAATTTATTTATAAAAAAATAAATTGAAAAGTGGAAAAAAAAAAAAAAGAAGAAGAACGTGTTCAAAACCAAACTGTGGCTTCTCTCACCCCCTGCCCTTCCTACGCCTCCCATGGTGAAGGGCAAGGAATTGTTTTTCCCTACCCGTTCATTGCTGCATCCTCAGCACCCAGAATGGAGGTGATACCCAATAAGTATTTCTTTATATTGTTTATATAACTGACTGAATCAGGGTAGGTCCAGAGGCTTTAACACCCAGGAACAGGGAAGAGACGTACGTTGGGAACAGTCCGAGCCAGTCCAGCCAGCCAGGCAGTAGCATGTTCCATCCGAGGGGTGGCAGGAGGAGTGGTTAGCACACTTGCAGGGCACACAGCGTTTGCCGTAGCGTCCGGGCTGACAGGCTGGGAGAAAGACGCTCCTGGTGATTGGGGGCAGGGGCCATCCCTCAGTAAGCCCTTGGTTCCACTATCTCCCTCCCTCTTTCCTACTGCAGTAACTGGCACAAAAATCAGAATCAGTGGGAGAAAACAAGATGGGTAGGGTGCAGGCTTCCAGCATCTAACACTGCACTGAGCCACACTGCTGGCAGGCGGGAGAGAAGGGAGCCTCACGTCTCTGGCAGGAGGGACCTCGGAATCCGGGTGCACACACACAATTGCCGTTCTCAGGGATGCAGGTGCCCCCATTTTTGCAGGTGCAGGTGTTGCTGCAGTTGGCTCCCCAGAAGCCCTCAGGGCAGGGCAGGTGGCAGCGGGTACCTGTGGGAGAGAGCAGTAGGGTGAGCCTGGTTCTCTCCTCTTCCATAGGGATTCTTCTAGATACATTTCCTAGGGGATGCACCACCTACTCCACAGTAGGCCTGGGGTCTGGATGCCCAGAATGCTCACCTGTCCAGCCAGCTTGGCACTGGCAGTGCCCATGAACAGGGTCACAGCCATCAGAGTGGTCACAGTCACAGCGACTGGCACAGCCTTCACCAAACGTCCCCTTCTTTGAGAGAGAGCAGACAGTAGGGCAGACTAGTCAGCTGAGGGCTAGGGCACCATGGTCTCCCCACCCCCAGGCAGGCCAGCTGTTGAGCACTTACTGGACAGGGGAACTTGCAGTGGGCCCCGTGCCACCCAGGGGTGCAGGTACAGGCTCCAGTTTGGGGGCTGCAGGCTGCCTCATGGGCACACTGGCAGCTGGCATTGCAACCAAATCCCCAGGTTCCAGGTGGACAGGGCACAGAGCAGTTGCCACGCTGCCAACCTGGAGGAGGGAGGGATCTGCAGGTAGGCATGGGGACTCAGCTCCCCTCCTGAGAACACACCGGGCATTGGCTGTGCCAGACTCTGTGTTATGAGTGGGGTGGTGGAGTGGGGGTGCTCATGGTCCCATACAAGAGACAAACATATAAACTGTTAGATATGGAACAGAAGGCTAAATGGCTGCTGGCCATGCACCACCCCATTCTGGGTCTTGGTGGCCCCTTCTGAAAAATGAAGGGGTTAACTAAAGGATTTATCCAGATCGTATGTGAGACAATAGGGAGCAGTGGGGGCTAGAGACTGGAGGTCTGTTAAATATAATAGCTAGCCAAACAAAACACAGCTCTTGTAGAATCCAGCCTAAAGATTGCCACTGTGCCACCCCTGCTAGACGTCAGAGCCCTCTGTGGTGCTGCGACTTTGTGGTTCTGTATCACTGAGGGAGAACAATGTTCACCAGAGAAGGAACTTCTGGCCTGGGCCTTTAAGAATGATTGGGATTTTTGCAGTTGAAGAAAAGGCAAAGCGTAGATTCCAGGAAGGAAGTAGCTTGGCTACTCTCCCGTGGCCCACTGCTGCCCAGTGGCTCCGCCCTTACCCTGCAGCCTCCCTTCTGCCCTTGGACCCTCCCTTCTTTTCGCGGCCCGGCCCCTCCCCCCCAATTCCTCCCTCTCAGCGACCCACCCCATTACCTTCTTTGCAGACACAAGTGCCGTCGATTGGGGAGCAGGAGAGGGCATTCTCGCAGGAGCAGCGTTTGGAGCAGTTGACTCCATAGGTATCAGGCGGACAGAGGCTAGCGCAGTGCGGGCCCTGAAGGCAGTAGGCGGACTAGTGAGGGGACCCGCTCTTCCTCCCCCCCCACCCCCCGCCCCGGTCCCGGGGCCAGGTCTCAGGGCGCGCCTCACCGTGTACCCGGGTGCACACCGGCAGAGGCCGCTGTCCGGCTGGCAGAGGCCGCCGTGCAGGCAGAGGCAATGCTCCCGGCAGCCGGGCCCGTGCGTGTCCTGCGGGCAGCTCTCGTTGCAGTGAAGGCCGGCCCAGCCGGGCTGGCACGAGCACTCCCCGCTCATCGGGTGGCAGCTGCGGACGGAGGCGGGCGGTGTGCTCTGAGCCGCGGCCGCGAGCCGACCTTCGGACCCCTTCATGGGGAACAGCCCGCGTTGCCAAGTGAGGGGGCACAAGGATGGCTCGGTGCTGTTTTGAGAGCGCCCCACTTCCCTGTCCCCAAGGCCCTTCTTTTCCCTTCTGTGACATCTGCCCCGCCCTTGGATATGCCCCTGGCGCTTTCTGTGATTCCGGAGGCTTCAGCACCAAAGGCCTCTCCCACTGGCCTCCTAAATCCGTGACCAGTGTCCCGCGGCCCACCTGAGGCTGTGCTCTGGATCGCAGGTGCAGGGCACCTGGCAGCTGAGGCCGTAGAGGCCGTCGGGGCAGAGGCGCTCGACACAGCGGTCCCCGGTGAAGCCGTGTTCGCACAGACACGCGCCATTGGCTGGGAAGCAGCGGGCCCCGGGGGCGCAGTCGCAGGTCTCAGCACAGTCCTGTCCGAAGCGGCCCACAGGGCATTCCTCGCGGCACCTGCGAGCCCAGCTGAGTGAGCCTGGCTACACCCACTCCTCCTGGTCCGCTCCCCACCACTTCCGCCCTGGCCAGTGCCACTCACCCATCCCCAGTGTAGCCTGGAGCACAGCGACACTGCCCAGTGAATCGGTCACAGAGGCCACCGTTGTGACAGCGACATTCCTGGGAGCAGTTGGATCCATAGAAGCCCTCCAGACAGGGCAGGGAACAGATCGTGCCCTGTGGAGTGAGAAATTGGCAGAGCCCCAGGCACCGACCCCTTCCTGGCGGTTACAGGACCCTTTGACCCTCCCATACCAAGAACCCTCAAATCTCTCCAGGGCCCACAGCCCAGCCCCTCACATATACCTACCTCACAGCCCTACTGAGAACCACCCACAGAAATGCCCCCAGACTCCCACCGCATCTCAACAGCCCCGCCATTCATACCATCCAGCCAGGTGGGCAGCTGCAGCCCTGGGAGGCCTGGAAAACACCCCCGTTGTGGCAAGGAGAGGTGCTGGGGCAGGAGAAGCCAATAGTGCCCAGCTGACAGGACACGTCACAGCTGCTGGGCAAAGCAGGTGATGTCAGCGTATGAACAAGCAGTACCCACTTCCCCTTTGCCTCCAAGGGATGGCCAACCATTCACAGGCCCCCCAGGAGGGAGGTCTGACTTCAGGGTTCAGTGAAGGTCCCCCCCCCCACATTGGGGACTGCAGGAATCAGAAAGCAAAAATCTGCAGGACTATGAATGGCAGTGACCCAGCCCCACCTCCGCCTTTGCTCACACTTGTCTTTCTGGGTGGAAGCCTCTGCCTCTGTGGGGTCTCGGCTCCAGAGCTCGGTCTCCACCCAGGCGAACCTTCTCCTTCCTGTGACCCCCCAGTGCTCCCTGAGTTCTGCCTTGCAACAGGGTTCTTTGGGTCCCTGTCTTAGCCCCACTTTATGACATGCTTCCACACACATGCTCTCATGTTATCTTCACAGTAACCTTTCCACGGGGACAACGCTGTTGCCACTGCACAGACCGGGAGAAAGCTCACGGTCAACGATTTGCTCAAGGTCACTCAACCAGTGAGTGGCAGAGCTGGGTCTAGGGTCTTGGCCTCTGGAGTCCATCCACACGTTTGGAATCCTGTTGGAACCCCCTCATATGCCCACATACGCCTGTGACCCCATAGTGTGCTTGTCCCCCATTACATACCTCGGCCCTGTTCTCTCTGGAGGGCATGAGCAGGCTCCAGTCTGGGGGTCACAGGGAGCCCCGTGGCACTGGCAGCGGAACTGGCAGGCAGGGCCATAATGGCCAGGGGGGCAGGGCTGCAGGCAGTGCGGGGGCTGCAGGCCTGAGGGGCAAGAACATGCCCCGCTCTTGGGGTCACAGGAGCTGCTGTTGCCACAGCTGCAGGGCTTGTCACACTGTGGCCCCCACACTCCTGGGGCACAATCTGTGAGATGAGGGGAGAAGGGGTTCACGAGGGGTCTTACCCCTTCTCAGCCTCCAGTTAATCCCTGACTCAGTTTCCCAGCTCCCACATGCACCTATGTCTGGGTTGGCCCAAACTCTGCACCGCTTCTCTGGAAAAAGCAGCACAGCGCACATCCCGGTGGCGCTCTGGTGGATAATTGCCCTGGGGTCCTAAGCACCTGTGCCCTAGTAAGGAGGGTGTGCCGAGGGCCCTGAAGCCACCAGCCACTCACCACTGGAGCAGTCGTCGCCCCGCCAGGCTTGCACACACTGGCACCGATTGGGTGCCACACAGCGGCCATGGACACACTCCTGGGCACACAGCGCTGGAGTGGAGATGGAGTAATGTGAAGAGACTTGCAGCCTTGCCCTTACCCACCTTTATTCTCTGAAGCCTAACCCCATCATCCTCCCACACCAGGGACCGGGGGTTCTCCGAGCAGCCATTCTGCCTCTAAAATGCAGAAAGACTGAGGGGCAGCAGCTGAGGTCAGAGCTTGACAAGGTCCGAGGATTCCAGGCTGCCCAGCCCCTTTCTGTGAAATTCTCAAAGCGCCTTGAGGAAATGGGGAGAGGGTCTCAGGTAGCAATTAGACATGGATGCTATCCAGAGAGAGAGTGGGGTCCAGGGCAGGTCAGGCTGGGCACAGGCCGATGACGGGCCAGGCGTGAGGCGAGGGCAGAGGGGCAGAGCAGGTCCGTCTGGGGGTTTCAGGGCGCCAGGGGCAAGAGGCAGAAGAGACTGAACATCAACAAGTCAGACACAGACAGCAACAGAGAGACAGGGACAGGAAGAGACAGAGGCAGACCCAGAAAATGGGAACCCAGACACACAGTGACAGATACGCAGGCAAACCAGAAACAGAGGGAGAGGCTTGGGAAGACAGAGATGCAGGGACAGAGACTGCTGAGGGACATGGTGAGAGGGGATGGGAGAAACATGGGGTCAGCTGGAGACAGAGGTAGGAACCCGAGAAACCGTGGCCTTAGGGACAAGGCCAGGGGAGGGGGAGGAGGGGGGAAACCCAAAGGTCAGAGGAGTAGCCCTGCCCCAGTAGATTCAGGGAAGGACTAGGAAGGGTGTGCTGGTCCCTCCCGTTCCACGGCCCCACCCAGGACTCACGGACGCAGACCCCACCGCTCTCGTAGAAGCCCCGACAGCACTGCAGGCGCTTTCGGTGCTCCGTCTTCACCACCTGGCGGTAGACAGTCCGGTAGACAACCCTGGGAAGACCCGGAAGGGCCTTCAGTCTCCCTTCTGAGCCCGGGTGCCCCCTCACACAGTGCAGCGCTGTGGGAGCCTGGGGCACTGCCCAGCACTCTGCGCTGGGAGGGAGTAGAGCACACGCCACCCCTCAGTGCCTGGAGGCCAGGTGCTTCCTCCAAACTTTAAAGGTTCTGAGAAGAGAAGGAGGGTGTGTAGGAGCAGGGGCAGCACATCTACCCACAGAGGAGGCCAGGGCACTCACGTGGGTTGCCGGCAGGTGTGAGGGCTCTCCCGGGGGTGGTTGCAGGGCTCTGAGGGGAGCAGGCTGAAGGGGCGGGAGTAGGACTCCTTGGTGGTGGTGGTGAAGCTGCAGGACAGGAAAGGGCCAGAGGCTCAGGGCAGGGAGAGACCGGAGCTGGCACAGATGCCACGAGAAGCAGGGCTGTGAGGCTTGGCCACCGCAGGGAATCACCACCCCAACACCTGGGCTTGCTCCCCGCAGCCTAGGATGGACTCCCACCCTGCCCCCCAATCTGAAGGAATCCTCCTAGAATTATAACAGCTCTGGAACACCCCTCCCCCATCAGAGCCCTTCTCACCCTATGGAACCAGAGCTGTCAGATTTTCCTTCCGCCTCCTCCCATGCAGGGAGATCAAGCGAGAGCTAACCCTGGGCCCAACTGATGGACATGGGTTGAAGCACTTCTAGCTAAATCCTGCCCGAGGCCTTGCTTCCCAGCCCTGCCCTCTTTGCTCCCCCTGGGCCCGTCCCTCTGCTTGCCCCCCACACAGTAAATGGCCACCCTGTGCGGTGTCCTGCAGCCAGTCTCCCACAGGGACCAAGGGACTGGGGTAAAGGAAAGACCGGCAGGGTCAGAGCTGGGATGGAGACTGAGACAAGGTCAGAGACGGGGAGAGAGTCTGAGGCAGCCTGCGAGGGGAGCACAGAAAGCAGAAGCAGACAAAGTGGGGAGGTAAAGAGTAGAGCGAGGAAGGGAAGGGAGGGAAGGACCTAGGCAGAGGAGCCCTAGTAGGGAGAATGGGGAGCTGGGTGCTTGGAGCCTTGAAGGCACATCGGGGCCCCTCTCACCTTTCCCAGAAGCTGCAGGTGTTGGGGTCACTGGGGTTGAGGGTTCCAGCCAGCCCCAGGCCCAGGGCCAGAAGGAGGGAGCACAGAGGTGGAGACATTGCAGAGGCCTGCAACAGGACATGGCCGGTGAGGGGCACTGCAGCCACAAGCCCAGAGGACCAAATCTTTGCAAAGACCTGAGCAGGGGTGGCAGCAGAGGGGACTCCCTTGGCCACAGCTCCCCAGGTCTCATCCCTGCCTGGGCAGTGTCCTGCATGCCTCGGAGCCTCCCACACTGCTTCCTCCATTCTTCACCTCGAGTCCTCACCTTTCCGGGTCTAGCCCCACGTGCCACCTCCCCTTCTCTGCTCTGCTCCTCACCCCCACTACCAGACTGCCCCACCCATCCCTTCTGGAGCCCCCAGCACCATCCCCCTCCCCCACAGCACTGTTGCAATGCCCATTCCCTGACCATGACCTCTGGAGGCAGGGACCAGTGCCTTTTATGTCTGAGTCCCCAGTCCCCAGTTCGGCCCCTACCAGGCCACTTTGATATTGATACCAAGATGGGAAACTGGAGCCAGCGGGAGGAAGTTGTGAGGGGAGCTAACTTGGGCTCAGCTGGAGGAAGAACTTGCAAACAGTCCAAGCAGTTCAGCAGGAATCAGCAACCTCAGTGGTGAGCTCCCCATCAGTGGATGTATGCAGGCAGAGGCCAAAACCACCCTGATGTAGTTGCGGGCTTCCTGCTGTATGGTATGGGAGTGGGAGGGCTGGGTCCAGGTGACCTTGAAGGGGACCCCTCCCCCACTGGTGTGCTGGCATGGCTCCTATGGACCCGTGAGAGCCGCAGTGCCCATCTCCTCCCAACTCCCGATGTCACACTAGCAGCTTGAAATCAGGCATGGGGGGTTGTTTATGCCATGGGAGTTGACCAATGAACCCGGGCCAGCCACATGCAGACACACACCCAGTGGCTGTTAAACATCGGCCAGCACGTCACTGCACCCAACTCCAGGCACTATCACCCCCGACCAGGCCTCAGGTTTAACGAGAGGACTCGCCTTCCTCTGGCCACCCAGTCAGCCATTTGGAAACAGGATCCTCTCTCTCTCCTCCACCCTCAGTCTCACCCAGTGAGTGGGAGCAGGTCAGGACTCAGATGGGTCTCTTCTGCTCCTAAGTGGCCACCCCCGCAGTTGGTTTTGGATTCCATGTGTAAAGTTCCTAAAACTTTCCCTGGTTCCTGCTCTATGTCTCCCTGAGGCACCCACATCTGCTTGTGATTTTGGAGCAGGAAGGTCAGGTTCCTAGCCCATTATACCCTTGAGTATCTCCGGAATGCTTGATGCCTGCCCAGCCCCGTGCCCCCACCCACACACTCCCAGGGGCCCCACAGCTACTCTCAGCTCCAGCTGGGGCTGCACTCCTTCCCTCCAGGTCTTGGAGCAAGAGATGTGCTCCCTGATTCACCCAGGGAGGCACAGCCCCACAGAAATCCCTCTCAGACCAATGGTGGCCCACCTGTCCTCCCCAGGTGGCCTCCTTCCCACTGCAAATCTTTCCCCAGAGCCCTGCAGTCCCTCAGAGCAGCAGTACCACGGCACCACTGGCCAGCGGTCCCAATGGCAGCTCCCTGGAGGCACATCTGCACTTCTGGCTTCTGTGCTTCCTCCTCTCAGGCCTCAGTTCCCACTGTAACTCACTAGAAGTAACTCACCAGGCCCTAGGGCATCCTGGGACCTGAGAAATTCAGCTGAGCTGGGCGACGTGGCCTCAGCCAGAGAGTGTCCTCGGGAATCCTGGTGCTCAGAACACAGCGCCTGAAAACAGGAAATCAAGACTAGCTGGAATGTGTGTATTTGGGAGAGGGCAGCAGAGAGTGGGGGTGGCTCCATCCTCCCACTGCCCTCAGCTCAGAAGGTGGATGTGGGGGCTCAAGGCCGGAAGCTTCTTTCCAGTGGCTTGTCTCTCGAGCTGAGCACTGTAGCTCCTTGGGTGGGTGAGGGGGCTTGGCCTGTCCTCAGGGAGCAGTAGTGTCTTTCAGATCCCACAGCTTGTCCCAGTGCACCACCCCACAGCCTCCCACACACATGCTATCCTCCGCCTCCCAGACAAACCTGGCTCCTCCCAAAGTCCCGAAACTGCACCCTCTGCCCTTTCCCTGCTCTAGCTGCCTTCCCAGGCCCAGCGCTCGCCCTGCATGCTCCCAGCTGCCCTTCTTCCATGTCTCCCCCGCGTGCTCAGCAGCCACGGCCACGGGCAGGACCCTGAGCCCTCCACACATCTCTCCCTTCCACATTCCCCTCCTGCAGGACCCCCACTGCAGCCGTGGCATGGGAGCCTCTGTCCTGAGGCTGGAACGCTGTCTGTCTGGATCCAGGGTTATCCCTGGGCAAATCTCATCTCCTACCACACCAGTACCTAGGCTTGCCCTGGCCAGGAGCTGTCCCCAGTTTGAGGCCGCAGTGAGGTGGACAAAACCTGCAGCAGGAAGGATCTGAGTAGAGGCACAGGAGGAGGGGCCAAGCAGACTGAGCTGCGGGCCCACAGGAAGTCCTTCCTCCATTCACATCAGCCCCCTCCCACCATCACCTTCTCCCAACCAACTTCTAGAGGAAATGTTTCACCTGGGGGCTCTGAGAGGGATCTGGAGGTGGACAGGGAGCACGAGGACAGCTAGGCTCTGACCGCCCGAAGGTAGCTGAGTGGAGGGTGAGGAGATTATTTTCCCAAAGGGCTTCATGGTAGGACGAGTTCAGAGGAAGCATCAGCTGTTTGGCAGTGGGGCTGGAAGCCAGGGTGGGGTCTGGGAGACCAGTGGGTAGTCAGCAAGGAGTGGGGAAATGAGACGGGGAGCCTGACCTGCCTCAGCCCCTGGGGACAGAGCACAGGCCTAGTCAGGAGCCCAGAGCCCCAGCCTGGCTTCCCAGGTTTGTTGCCTTTGGAGTCCTTGTTCCTGCAGGGCAAGGGGACCTGAGGCCCTGGTCCTGTTTCTCCCAGCCCCTCCAGTCCAGCAGCATTGGGCCCTTGTGATTACATGAGCCCCTCACGGGTTTAAATCAGGCAACTGCTAGCACCCCATCCCACCCCAGGGCCCCCAATTCATTCACTGAGATGTACCCCCAGTATCCCCTACTGCTTCTTCCTATACTGAAGTCCCCCCAGCCCCCCTTAATTTCCTTCCTCCACTGTATCTCGGATTTAAGGGACCCAGACACCCTCCCTCATAGTAAGAATGATAATGTAACCCCACACATGGGTTACTGTGTTGAGTAAGGCAGGGTGCTGAGCAATTTATACGGCTCATCTTATTTGAAGCTTATGTCAGTCCATTGTGGCAGGTATTATTATTCATTTCACAGATAAGGAAGGTACAGAGAGAGCAAGTCACTTGCCCAAAGCCACACAGCCCGTAGTATCAGAGCTGGCAGAGGCCTCCCAACAGTTCCAGCCTTTTCAGAGTCGGAGCTGGAATCCCAGGGCTTTGTATCTCTTTTTGCAGCCTCAGCCATGGGGAGAGGAGAAGCCCGGTGGGAGGAGGGGCTGGGGGTGGGGCTGCAGCAGGAATGGAGACCAGAGGCGTGGGAATGGGGATGTGTTTTCAGTCAAGAATCTCTCCTCCACCTCGAGATGCAAAGCAGCTGGGCTCCAGGCCAGGCCCCAGTGCTCAGTTTGGTCTGCACAGCCCCCGGCATCCTGCCCTCTGTACCCCCAAGCCCACACAGGGCCCAACCCAGCTCCCCCTCCCCTGCTCTTCTCCAAGTTCAACCCAATTTCCTCCAGTGCAGAGTCCCCCGCCCTCACTGTGCCACAGCCCCAGGAAGGAGGAGGGGAATGAGCCTGAGGCCTCTGGGAGGGGGCACAGTTCCTGGTGGACAGATGGTCCATTTCTACAGAAGACAAACAGCAAGAGTTGGGCTGACGAAGTGAGGCAGCAAGAGGGACTTCCTCACCCATGCCTCCCAGCTTCTCTTCTCTGGTAGGTGGTGCAGCAAAGGGTACCTACCCTCTGAGCTCTGCATCCCCTCCCAGCCCCACTCAGGCCCCGTGTGAATCCCATCTGTAAGACGGGGACATATGAGTACTTCCCTGGGCAGGGTGGCTGTGCAGACTAATGCATGAGTTAGTGCACATAAAGCACATAGAGCCCGTACATGATATGCTCAGTTAACATCAGCTGTCTTGGTCCTGCACCCATCACCATGCCCCTTGGCACTGTTATACCCTTTGTGCATTCATTCCAGGAAAAGCTGTTTCTTGATTTTTTCTGAAGAACCCCCAGGATGATCCAGGAATAGGAATGGGGACTTAGATGCTGAGAGAGAGAAAGGAAGTGGGACTGGGAGGGGCCTGCCCTGATCCCCCAGAACCTGATCCTCCAGCACAGTGGACTTACTACCAGGTACTTCTTCAAGCCAAAGGCGGCTGACAGGCAAGTTGTTTGGATTCTGCTTCCCTAGCCCCCGCACCACCTCCAACTCCTTGCTTGCTTCCACTGGCCCCTGTGTCCGCTCTCTCTCTCTCTCTCCTCTTCCCAACTTGGAATCCAAAGGTTCTGGTACTTACAAGCTGTCACAAGCTCTGTGACTTCAGGCATGGCAGTTGAGCCCTGAGAGCCTCTACTTCCTCATCTGTAAAATGGGAGAATAGCCCCCTCAATCTCCCAGGACTCAGTGAGAGCAGGAACCGCTGGTCCCAGTGACCACCCTGCGACAGAGCCTCAGACCAGAGGTGGCCCAGGGGACCTGTGTTCATGCTGAAACAGAACCCTCAAGTTGTAGGCTCTCTGCCTCTTTCTTTTTGCATTTTATCTTGTTCTTCATCAGAAACTCTCCACTTTCTTCCCTTTTTTCTTCCCCCATCAGTTTCTTGGCCTCTGTCCTTTCCTACGTCAAGGCTGCCGTGCAGAGTTGGGCAGAATGTTCACTGTACTAGGAAATCTGCCTCTGAGTGTGAGGTGGAAGCCAAACTCCAGCCGCGACCCGCTCACTGAGACACGTGTCTTAGCTTGGCGCCAAGGTTGCCTTGACTTATATCTCTCCTGTCTTTCTGTCTCTCTCCCTGTCTCCGCGTCTGTTTCTCTATGTCCTTTCCTAACTTATCTTTGCCATGGAGACAGGGTCCCTCAGTCCCCCCCCACTCAGTGAGACCCAGTTGGAAGATTCCCCCTGGCTACCCACACACAGATGTGCTCTGACCCAGCTCCACACACCACTCAGGGCACACATGTGCATGCGTGTACACGCAAGCACAGAGCCCTCCTACGTCCAGCCAAGCCAGGGCTGTCTGCCAGATGGAGCGACAGGAAGCCTGCGTGTATGTGCCAGAGGCCGGGCGAGGAAAGGACAGGGGTGAGGGGCTGGCCTTGTGTTCTCTGTGGCTCAGGAAACAGAAGCTAGAGGGTCCTCTGTCTGACTTGTTTACTCATCAGGAAACAGGGAAACTGCAGGGATTCTGATTCACCAAACATCTCAACACCTACTGGAGGCTGCCACCAGTGCCAGTCCTGACCCTCGTCGCCACCCTTAGGTGCTAGTGACAGTTATTCCCACTTCACAGGAGAGACCCTGGGGTCTCAGGTAAACTGACTTGCCCGAGGGCCGGCTGGTTGTCAGAAGCAACTACAGGACTAAAATTCTCCTTCAGAAGACAAAGCAGCCCTGGCTGGTGCAGCTCAGTTGGGTGGAACATCCCATAACCAAAAGGTTGCAGGTTCGATCCCCGGTCTGGGTGCATACAGAGGGCAACCAATCAATGCTTCTCTCCTTTCTTCTCTCCCTTCAGCTTTCTCTGGAAGCAATGAAAAACTGTCCTCAGGTGAAAATTAAACAAAAAGGCAGTAGATGGAGGGTGACCCTGGAGTGACACAGGCCAGGGAGCAACCCTGGCTCCAACCGAAGGCTCCCCTCTGGCCCACCACCAGGGGGTGCTCACCGCCACCCCCAGAAAACGCAGCGCAGCTCCAGCCACCACCTTCTCTAACGCCTTCTGTGGCTCCCACACCACAGGAACAGGGTGCCAAAGGGCAAGCCCCACCAGATGCCCAGTTCCATGGCCTCTGCCCCTGTCATCCCATCACACTGGAAAGCAGCCCGCTTCCTCCAGATGCCTCTTCCACACAGCCACCTCTGCCCAGGCCACCCCTGAAATGCCCAGGTTCTACCCATCCTTTCAGGCCGGCCTCTTCCAGGAAGCCTCTTCAGTGGCTCTAGGCCTCACCCAGTCTTCCCTGCCGTCATCACCACAGGGATCCCCCCAGTACCCTGGCCCAAAGGAGACCTGGGCTGTTCTCTCCACATCCTGCCCCAAGCCCAGCCTCAAACTGGACATGGATCGATACTTCTGGAGACCTCAGCCAAAGGCTTGACGCCAGTACCCTTCCTTGGGGGGCATGTGGGACTAACCCAGGCCAACCCAGAAACTCACAGCCCCTGGAAGCCTCAGTCTCTTGGGCTGATCCGGTAATGAGACTCCACTTGTGACTGCTGGTTTGTGAGTCTGGTTTCCCACGAGGCTTGGACCCCCTCCCCCGCCCCGCAATCTAACTCCTCTCCTAGGCTTCAGTAGCGGGGTGATGGCCCACTGGGTGTTGGGTCCCATCCCACAGTCACTGTGTTTTTGTTCAGGTCTGTCTTCCCCACTGGAATGGAGCTCCTTGGGGTCAGGGCATTTCTCTGCCTTCCTCTCCACTGCATCCCCAGCACCACCGGCACCCAGCTGCGTGCACCCAGCTGCGTGCCCCCAGAGAGCCTGGCGGCAGTCAGCAGCAACTACACATTTGTGTGGGGTGGGTGGACTACTGGACTGAAATCCTTCCCGACTCCAGTAAGGCTTGATCTTACTTTGTGGAGAATGGGAGAGAGAGAAGTTTAGAGGCTGTGGCCTCTCCCTGGCTCACTAGGCAGCAGAACTGGCCCTCCTTCCAGGCCCTCAGGGTGATGAAAGGTAGAGTTCTGGAAAGAACTTCCAGTGCCACAGAGTGAAAGGCGGCTCCAGGCCTGACCCTCCGGCCTCCAGCCAGAGTCCCCAAGGGCTGGCCTCCATGTTCCTGGGGGATGAGTGTGCCACAGTACAGTACTGAGTCACCTCAAGAGGATGGGGTGGCACCTCCAACACAGGAACAATGTCTCCTCACTGTCCATCCACACCTCCTTCCGAACAGAGGGACTAGGACCCAGATGCCACCACTCTGGGGGTTGTGTGGACGACAGGCAGGACAGGGGACCCAGGAGGCCCCAGGACCCACCCACACGCTGTTCCTCCCTGGAGACCTATATCTTGCCATACGGGGTGCCGTAATACCAATCACTGCCCCTTGTTAAGTATATCCTGTGGGCTAGATCCTTTCTTTTTTTTTTATAGTTTTGACTTTTTAAAGATTTTGTATTTATTTATTTTTAGGGAGGGAAGGGAGGGAGAGAGAGAGAAACATCAATGTGCAGTTGCTGGGGATTATGGCCTGCAACCCAGGAATGTACCCTGGCTGGGAATCGAACCTGGGACACTTTGGTTCCCAGCCCTCGCTCAATCCACTGAGCTACGCCAGCCAGGGCTTTAGATCCTTTCTTTTCATTCTCTCAGCCATCCTGGAAGTAGGTGCTAGGATGCTTCCTATTTTGTAGATGAAGAAATATTCCAGGAAGGCTAAGGAGGTTGTCCCAGGTCATACAGCCAACCAGCGGGGTCTGGGCCAGCCTGTGCAGCCCCTTTAGGTCCTTCTCTCCCTGTGGTTTCCTTTTGGTCTCCAGACCCTCTGTCTTCCCTTCCGGCTCTCCGTCCTTCTTGTTCCTTCCCTAGGTCTCTGCTCTGTTTTTCTAAGTTGGCTTTCTTTTCCCCCGGACCTTTTTGCTTCCAGAAGTCCCTAAGTCTCTTTCTCTATTTTCATATTTATGTCTCTGTATGCCTCTGTCTTTTTCCTTCCCTGCCTTATCTTTTTCCTCCTGCTGGCTTCTCCCCAAAGGTCATGGGCCAGGAATGGAGCCGACACTCTCTCCACTTAGGGTGTGCCCCAGAGCCCCTCAGTGTCTCAGCAGTCCTCTTTCTCGGGCTTCCAAGGCTAGGAGGAGAGGCTGGGTAGCATCCCAGCCCCTTCCCAGCAGCACGTTGATGGGGGAGGCAAACAGCAGCCCAGGGACCTCTATCTCTGCCCAAGTTTCCGATTGGTGGATGGGGCTGCCTGGAGTTTCCTCCTCTGGGAAAGTCTGATAGGGAATGGTAGGGGTGAGGACAGTGGAGAAACACACGCCAACCATGGGCTTCACCTCCCAGTGAAGAGAGGAAGACAGAGAGGTGAGCCTGGCTACAAGCCAGCTCCTAGGTGGCAGAAAAGGTAGCCCCAACTGCAGCAACAACTATGGTGGGTAGACTTTGGGGGACCTCAGAAGTGGGAGAGGCAGCAGCAGGGCACAGGTGACAGGAGATGGGAGGGCTGCCCCCACGCTCTGGCTCACATGTGCACACATGCAGGTCTTGTCATGAAATGGGGTGGGATGGGGTTCAGAGAACAGCTGTCTGTCCCCTAGACCCTGCTTAGGCCAGGGTTTAGGGATGACGCCTTGCCCAGTCTGTCCTGGAGCAGAGAGGTCTGGCTGAGCCTGGGAACCTCAGCTAGCACAAACTGTTCCCATCCCTTGGGACTGAGATCTCCACCCAGGCCCAGGAGAGGCCACTCATAAAGGGCCCGGACAGCAGAGAGTCCACTACTGGAGGCTGGACATGGAGGGTGAGGGATGGCCTTGCTAGGGCTGGGCTCGTGGATCCGGACCTGTCCCTGGCTAACGTCACCTCCCCTACGCTGCACCGGTCTCGCTCTTAGCACTACCTCAAATCATCCCAAGCCCAGAGGGTTTTATGAGGACCCAGGTGCCTGAGACCTTTGGTCAACTTCCTAGTCCTCAACACTAGCAAAGCTCTGAGTGCCAGGAACCTGCAAACCTGGTTCTACATCCTCCTCAAACACTCCTCCTCGGGGGGAGAAGGGCAACCCTATTAATAAACATTGGCCAGGAGACATATTTTTCCTCATCCAAGCCTACAACAACTCCATGAGGTAGGCACTATGTATTATTATTCCCCTTTTAGAAACGAGAAAGTGAGGCAGCTGACTAAGGCCCTACAGGTAGTAAGGAGCAGGGCAGATTCCAATTTAGCAGCCATGATTCCACTGTGGGTGTTCCGAACGCTTCCCACGGCCACGCGGAGGACTTGGTACTCCTTGTCCCTCCAGCCCTGGGGCGGGAAGCAGCTGGAGGCTGCCCTGGACTCACCCGGTTGCAGCAGGGGCTCGGGAAGCTGCCTTGTTTGCATGTCATGTACCTGTTGCGTTATTTTGCAAGACAACCGCAACCGCCTTGGGCCTCTCTCCACTACACCCAGCCTTTCGCATCTCTTTCTATCTCTCTCAGCCGCCACTGCTGACCTTGGGGGCTCAGACTTCAATTCAGAGGGGACTTCAGAGTCCGCCTGCCCTTCCCCCGGGGCGCGGGGTGCAGTCACTCACCTGCCGACGGTCCTTTCTCCCCGTCAGCCTGGGGTGCGGACTGCCGGGGTGGCCCAGGTGAAGGATGGGACGAGGATCTGCGTGCAGCCCCAGCCCGACAGCGGAGCGATGGGAGCCGCAGGCTGTGGCTGGCGGGGCGGGGGAACGAGGAGGGGCAAGGGGCAGGAAGGAGGTGGGACTCTGGCCGCGCCGAGGCAGGAAGTTTTGACAAGGAAGCCGGGAGCGGGAAGATCCGTCGAACCCGGTAGGAAAACGGTGTTGGGGTGGGACCGCAGAGATCCAGGAGCACAGACCCTCGGAAGCCGGGACCGGAGTAGACTGGGATGAGATTGGAGAAGGGCAGCTCTCCGACAACTGTGCGTCCCGGACCACTGCACCTTCCGGGCCTCAGCTTTCCTGTCTGCAAAGTGGGCTTGTGGAGGAGAGTCAATAGCATTGCACCTCGCCAGTGCTGCCAGCGACGGTGATTTCATTCAAGAGAAGTCGGGCACCGACCGGCCGCATCTCAGCTCCGGAAAGGTAGCGGGGGAAAGCCACCCCCTCCTGCTTCCCACAAACACCCTGTGGGCGGGTGTGATACTGGAAAGCAGCCTCCCGCGGAGTTTCCACCTTAGCCTGCGGCCTCTGCGGGGCGCCCCCTGGCGGCCAGCGTCCACCTCGCGCAGCCCGCACAACGGACTTGGGCGAAGGTGCTCACTCCAGAGGTCGTCAACCAGCCCCACACCCTTTTTAGGGCACCTTTCCCTTATCAGTCTCTGTCTGAAGGGACAAAGACAATTTTATACCATTTGCTGCCCTCATCAGCCCTTAAGGTGTATTGCTTAATTTAATTAATCCTTATGTCGAGATTGGCTCCATGTACATGATGAGACCAATGTCTTGCCTGATTAGAAGACTAGTAAGTGACAGAAGCAGAAATTGAACGGAGGTCTGTGGTCCGTCCAATTACACGGTTCCCTTCGCAGACCACCACCTGGGAAAGCTACAATAGTTGAGGAAGGGCAAGAAAGGAACATTCCTCCTTACAGACATTAAAAAATCAACTTTATATTATTGAGGTATAATTGACAAACAATAAAAACATGCTTAAAAGTGCACAGTTTCATAATGATTTTTAGATTTTTTCTATTGTGGTAAAATATATTTAACATGAAATATACCACTTTAACCATTTTTAAGTGACATTAACTTCACTCAAATTGTTCAACAGCCATCACCACCATCTCCAGGACTTTGCCACCATCCCAAACTGAAACTCTGTCCCCATTAAACAGCGACTCCCGGTTCCTCCTCCACGGCCCCGTACACCTCTATCCTACTTTCTGTCTCTGTGAGTTTGACTGCTCTAAGTACCTAAAATGTGGAACTATACATTTGTTTGTGTTTGGATCATTTCTCTCAGTGCAATGTTTTAATTTGATGAGTTTTGGCAAATGTGTTCATCTATGTAACCAGCAGCCCAATCTAAATTAAAAAGAAAGTATTTCCCTCACTTCCCAGACTTCCCTGTGCTCCTTTGCAGCTAATGCTGCACTCTCAGCTCCTTTCTCAGCCCCCAAACCCAGCCCTGTGAAATTTCGGACCTCTTCTCATTACTATAGGTTTGTTTGTTCTAGAAATTCATTTAAATGATTCATGTAATATGTACTCATTTGTGCCTGGATTCTTTCACTCACTGTAAGGCTTTTCAGTAGTTTGTTGCTCCTGTTGCTGATTGGCATTCCATTGTGTGAATTTACCCCAATTCATTTCATCTTTCTACCAGTTGATGGGCACTGGAATGTTCCCAATTTGAGGGCACTATGGATAAAGCTACCAAGAACATTCATGTGGAAGTCTAGTATGGGCATATGTGTTCATTTATCTTGGTACGTAGCTACTTAGGAGTGGGATTGCTGGGTTATAATGGTTATAAATTCTTTATGTTTTCTGGTTTCAAGTTCCTTGTCAATAATATGTACCGAGAATATATTTTTATCTGAGAGACAAGCAAGTGTTGTTTAATTTGGTGCTGGAGAGGTGGAAGGTGTTGTGAGGAGCGGATCGGATAGTGTTGCTCATTTTAGAGAGGAAGGAAAGGAAAAGGAAAAGTTGGACGTAGCTTTTCTTGACTTAAGTGCCACCAACAGTCTCCAGCAGAGGGCAGCAGAAACCACAGCACAGCTCCAGGGTCCGGAGGCCAAAGACCACAGAGTAGCAGCAGTCTATGGCCAGAGGGGCCTTGAAAGTCCTGTGATCCGTCACCTTTAAGGAGCAAAGGGGGAGATTGAGGACCAAAGAAGAGGAACATGAGTACCCCCCGCCTCCCGCCTTTATCTGACTCACTTGTTCTCATCCTTCCACATTCAGCTCAACTGCCCTTTTTCTGGGGGTCTTTCCAGCCTCTGTCCTTCCCTCCCCATCCAACTCCTACATGGGAAAGTTTAACTTGCCTCTCTCCGTATACTCCGAGTTCTTCAAGGACTGGGGCCAGGTCAAAATCATCTGTGTGATCCCAGGGCCTGGCACAAAGTGAGTGCTCCACAAATGTTATAGTGAATGGCTGCTACCTTGTGCAGTGCTCCTCTGCAATCTGGACCCGACACGCTCCTGGGCCCAGCCCTACAGCTTGCAGGACTGAAGTTCGCCTGTTGCCTCCAGGGAAGTACAAGAGGACCCACGGCCCTCATTCATCATTTTGTTCAACAAGTACTCTTTTGTGTTTACCTGGCGCCCAGGATCAGAGGAAGTGAGTTGACAATATTGGTGGCAACTACTAACTTTTATTGAATGAACCCTACCAGGCATCTTTTAAGACCTTTATATTTAATAACTTATTTAGGGGAGAAATAAGGGTCTCCTTCCTCAAAGGGCTCACATGCTAGTTGGGGAGGGAGTCAGTTGTTCATTCATTGAATAAAGACTTGTTGAGCACCACTATGCACAGGCATTGGGGCTATGGCTATGAACAAAAGAGACACAAATCTCTTCCTGAATATGGTAACTAAAAAAAAAAAAAAATGAAGCTTACATTTTAGTAGTGGTGCTGGTGGAGAGATGATAAATGAACTAAATCGGTTAGATCATGACACAGTGGATGGATGATAAAAAATAGAAAAAAACAAAACAGAGGAAGGGGACAGGGAGCACTGGGGGCGGGTACAGTTTCGGAAAGGTGGTCAGGGAAGGCCTTGCTAACAAGGGAACCTCCAGGTGAAGACCTAAAGGGGCAAAGTAAGGAGTCACACAGATTTGGAGGGAAAGAGCATTCTAGGCAGGAGAAGAGCAAGTACAAAGGCCCTGAGGCCAGAACATGTGCCACGTTCAAAGACTAGCTGGTTGACTGGAACCTGGTTAGTGAGGAGAGCACAGTGGGAGGTGTCGAGGACAGAGGTGTAATGGTGGTCAGACCCTGCAGGGCCTTATCGCCTGTGGTAAGGCTGTAGAGTTTGTTCTGCCTGAGGTGGGGAACCACCAGAGGATTTGGAACAGTGGAGGCATATGACGCAACTCAGGTTTTACAAGAATTACGGTTGTGTTAAGAACGGGTTGTAAGGAGCATGGTGGCAGCAGGGAGACCAGTGACTACTGTGCAGATCCAGGTGAGCCGTGATGGCTTGGACCAGCAAAGGCACTGAGGAGCACATGGCTCGGAACACAGCAGAGTGCTCATAGAGGGGAGTGGGGGGCGGTGAAGTGTGTATGTCTCTTCCCTCCAGGATGGGAGAGGTTGCTCACAAGTCCTAGAAGCAGCTGCCTTGACAGAACTGGAAAGGGCTGGAAAGGCCCTGATCCCACTTGCAAGTTGTGGCTGAAAGCTGAGCTTGAGGCTGGTCTCTCTCCTGAACACACAACTCACCTCAGCAGGTAGGATGTCAGTGCTCACCTACCATTCCCCGTCTCACCCACTGTCTCACCAGGTGCACTCACCAGAACATGGACGGAGAAAGGAGACTGGCTGCCCTGGGTAAGGGCTGAAAGGAAGAGTGAGGTCCCCTCAGGAAATCCTGGAAGGATAGAGCATTCCTGCTGTTGTCCCTGCCTCTCCAACCAAGCTTGGCGTGCGTGCTTGGCAGTGATGACAAGGGTCAGGAAGGCCCGCTCCCTAACCCTCCTAGGTCTCAACTGTGTGTTGGGGGGTTGGGGCTAAATACAAGCTATGACCCCCAGTTGCCTACCTGGCCTCCCCTCCCTATGTCAAGTGCCCAGGACCCTGCCCCTGGGTGGTCCCTGGCCTGGATCTGTCCACAGGCCCCCACCTACTCCCCTCCCCCACCCCAGCCCTGCCTGTGGCCTGCCCACCAACCAGTCTTCCTGGCACTCAAGCTCCCATCCCTCAGCCCCACCACTCTAGCTGTAATCACAGCTCAGCCCAGACCCCCCTCCTGTGAATAACTGGGGCTGATTTAGGGCCCATCAGGGGTGGGGGGAGGGCTAATGGAGTTCGTGGGGGTGCGCCCTGGTGATGAGGGGAAGGTTGAGAGGCAATTAGCCGAGCTGACAGCCTCAGGAATCACCTAATGCGCCCCCTTACCTCACCCACAGTAAGGGCTAAGGAAGGGTTGAGGGGGCTGCCCCATTCCCACATCCAGGGTGGACTTGGACTCGGACTTGGGGAGGGATCCTGGCCCTCCCTCAGCGGGAGGTCTAAAGGCAGATAGCAGGAGAGAGACTTACACAAAAACAAAGGCAAGGGGCCAGTGGCGGGGTGGAGGAGCACCTTGGGGAAGGAGGAGGCTGACCGAGTAAGTCAGGAGCTCCTGGTCCCTCATAACCCCCCACTCGCCAACACACACACACACACACACACACACTGCCCTAGCTGAATCCTATCCCTCGCTAGGGACCAGCTCCTCATTAATACCAACATTAGCCCTGAACACTCTCCCCTCTCGGCCTCCCTGTCATTAATTACCTCTTCTCCCAGCCCAGCAGAGGAAAAGCCAGCTCCTCCAGGGCCAGAGGAACCAGGCCTGACCTCCTGCTCAAGAAGCCACTCCTGCCCCCTCCTCTCAACTTCTGAAGGAAAGGAGAAGAGAGGAAGAAAGGAAGGAATCTAGAGGCAGGAAGGAAGAGAGGGAGAGAGGGGAGACCATGTCCTTCTGTCCCTGGCACCCCCCACCCCCACATTTCCCTTTTTGAGGTGCTCACCCCTTGGAGTCTTTCTGTAGCCTAAGATCCATCCCCATGCCTGAAAATGGCCAGCCAGGAGCTGAAAAGCCTCCAGCTGGGAAAGGGGCCAGATCCCTGAGCTCCCTTCCCTACCTACATCCCCTCTGAGTTCAGGTTAGGAACAGAAATTTGCACAAATGTGTGCAAAGAGCCAAGTTTGCACAAACCTTCACACAGGGACTGTCACACATAAACACAAAACCAGACACGCTGGGACCAAAGTCACCCTGGGGATGAGAAGGGGCAACATACTCTGCTGGGAGGTACCACCCACCACCACGTGCTGAGACAGCTGCTTGGAGAGGTGCAGGTAAGGTGTCACAGAGCATCCAGTGTTAGTGGAGGGGGCTGTGCCTCCACAAGGGGAGGTGGGGGTCACTTGCATATGAATGAACCTCAGGAGGAGGGACCCCTGCCTTCTCCTCCTAGTGCTGCCATCTTGAATCTCTCTAGCTCAGTTGCATTCTCTGTCTCTCTCTCGTGCATATGCATGTAAGTGAGCACACATTAAAGCAAAGTGCAGTGAAAAGCCCACGTCTACCTCAGCTGTCTGGTCCAGGATAACAAGCCCTAA